AATTTGTAGATCATTAAACGACCCGTGTCCTCTATGCGTACAAGAGAAACTATATATTACTAAGTTTATAAAAAATAAAAATTTACTGAATCAGAGAAATGAAATAGCTATTATATGCCGTCATTGTCAAAAATTTTCCTTAAATAATATATATAAAAAAAAAAAATAACAAAAAGTCTATTGGAATGGCAGGAAAAATGTTTAAAACTTGTATTTAAAATTTAAAATTGTAGTTAGAACGTATTCAAACATAAGCATCTTTTAAAATTTGTAGTTAAATAAAATGTATCCTAACCGAAACATCTCTATAATAAATGTACTACAAACACTTGAATGAATCCAATAAAACACCTACTGAAAAATGAAATTATAACAAAAGCTAGATGATGTAAGGTAATGTATGACCCATTGTTCTTTGTACATACATATGAAACTTTATTACTCAGGTTGCATATATTTAAAATAAATAAATTAATTAATTAATACATAAAGTTTACTAAATCTGAGAAATGACTTAGATAGTTTTGTAGTCTGTGCCATTAATATTACTTAAATAATATCTAAATATAAAAGTTTAAAAATTGTAATTTACATATACTTGGATATGGAAAAATAATTTTACTTACTATGAGTAATTATCCTTCTGTTATAAAGTAATATAGTCTATTAAAACTAACAATGAAAATATTTTAAAATTTTAAAGTAATTTTAAAATTGTAATTAAAATTGTAGTTAAATAAAATGAATTCTAACTTGTTCTTTATAAATACATATGAAACTTTAATACTTAGGTTACATATATTTGAAATAAATAAATTAATTAATTAATAAACAAAGTTTACTAAATTTGAGAAATGACTTAGCTAGTTTTGTAGTAAGTGCCATTAATATTACTCAAATAATATTTAAATTTAAAAGTTTAAAAAAAAAAAATTGTAATTTACATATACTTTGATATGGAAAAATAATTTTACTTACTATGAGTAATTTTCCTTCTGTTATAAAATAATATAGTCTATTAAAACTAAACAATGAAAATATTTAAAAAATTTTAAAGTTGTAATTTTGAAATTGTAATTAAAATTGTAGTTAAATTGAATAAATTCTAACCTAAATTTCTTATTATATTACTAGGTTTATATATAAAATAAAAGTTTACTAAATCAGTGAAATTAAGTAACCATTTTTGCCGTCATAGTCATAAATATTAAAAAAAAAAAAATGTAACCTCATATACATACTTAAAATTGATGTTAAAATAATCCTACATAATATAATGGATTCTAATACATTTAACTGTTCTTAAAAAAGAATATAGTAAAATAAAATTAAAAAAGGAGAATATTTCAAATCGTAGTTAAAAAAAGTATTAGAAAAAAAAAAAAAAAACCCGAAAATCTATAAATTTAAAAAATGACGTTGAAATTTTTTTACCGTTAACAATTTTTTTTTTTTTTTTTAAAATTCAGACGACATCCATTCAACTGATGTCAGGTTTCATTGTAAAATACACCCCTACCCCTTACCAAATTGTAGCTAATAACTGATACAATGATACTGACATAAGGAAAATCTAGACATCCCTTGTTCAATTTAAGTAGAATATTCTGTAACCATGGAAACGTGATTTTAGCTGTGTCTTTAAAACCCGGTAATTTTAAAAGTTACTCCAAAATTCGTTTGAAGATGAAATGGAACTAATGCTTTTAATTTAATTGCAAAATTAAATTGGGGTTTTTAGCTTCTATTTTTGAAACATGGTTGGAACAGTGTAGCAAAAAAAAAAACATATTTTAAATCAATTAATTTATAATATATATATATATATATATATATATATATATATATATATATATATGAATGTATATATATATATATGTGTGTGTGTGTGTGTGTGTGTGTGTGTGTGTGTGTGTGTGTGTGTGTGTTTGTCTTTCTAGTATAGGAATTTAGTCTTTGCCCAGCGTTTAATATTCTTTCCCTTCCCTTATGTGATCCTTTAAATGATAGTTTTGGCGCTGAAAATATAAAGATATTTTTTTTCCCCGATCAATGATGAAGATTAGTCAGACACGAATAATCCGAAACTATCGGAGGACATATTGAGCATCCATTTTGTTTCTGTTTTTTGTTTTACTTCTTCCTTGCGTATCAAGATCTTTACTGCTGATGATCTAGTGTAATTTTGTTGTAGGTAGATCTATAGTTATTCTATCTCAATCTGATTCTAAGCTTCTTTTTCGTTTCTAATTTCCTTCACATCCTCCGTACATTGAGTTCTCAGGATTCTTCTGTAAAACCTCATATCTGTTGTCTCAAGTCTCCTTTTAAAGTGGAAGGAAATTGGCCAGCGTTTTACTGTCATACAGGAAGAATTTTGTAAAACATCTGCTCAGTACTTTTATCTTTCTTTCTATCAAAATCTTGTTTTTTGAAAATTTTGTCTGCCCGATTATGTAAATTTAAGCAAGTTACTAGAGTGGCATCTAGGTCCCACCATTTTACTGTTAAAATAGTTAAATGTAACCGCCACTTCTACTCCAACTGTTTTTTTTTCTCGCACTTCCCTCTCGCCTACTTGCTTCCCTGATAACTACAATCATCAAAAATTTAAATGCAACATCAATCGCAATTTTCTATCGTCTTAAATCCCGTTCATCTTTTATCTTTTTTTAATCCCACAGTCTTTTCTCACACTTTCACTTTCCTTAACACTTTGCATTCCCGCCTTGCTTAAAAAAAAAGTTAAGTTACTGTATTTTTTTTATTTTTATGCCTTCAATCTGAAGTTGGCATTTCGGATTTTCCTCTTAATAATCTCCTTGATCCTGTGTTCTTATTGTTTAAAACTGTTCAATTTCCCTTCCTTTTCAGCTTGTGGAGAAATACCTGAAATATTCTATCCGATTATCCCATCAGTACTGTGTCATCTGCGTATTTTGATTCTTTTTTTATCCCGTGATACGTAGAGTTGTAGGGGAACTATGAAATGGCGTTTCTTCGGCAAGGTAGTCTGACGGAGTCAAACCCTCTCCAGGCCGGTTTTGAATTCAGAGTTTTTTCTTCTCCTAGAACGGTTGCCAACCATAGAACCCATAGATAAGAAGAAGAAGATTTATACCATTCCCAAGGGTATTAGCACGTAAGTGAATGTAATGAATTCGACTGGAATTCGAACTCGGCTCTCCGATTCCTAAATCCATTACTCCACCATGCTTCCCCCACCTTCGTATACTGCGTTATTAAGGCTGTGCCTACATATTCTGATCACTTTCAAATTTGCCTACCCTACCTGTATAACATGCGTGAGCATCTATTTTCAAGTAAGAAACTTCTTCTTCTTCTTCTTCTTCTTCTTCTTCTTATTCTTATTCTTATTCTTCAACCTTCTCTTCTTCTTCTTCTTCTCCTTCTTCTTCTTCTCCTTCTTCTTCCTTCTCCTCCTCTTATTATTCATCTTCCTCCTCCTCCTCTTCTTTTTTCTTTTTCTTCTTCCTCCTCTTCTTTTCCTTTTCTTCTTCTTTCTCCTCCTCCTCCACCTCCTCTTCTTCCTCTCCATTCTCCTTCCTCCTCCTCCTCTTCTTCTTCTTCCTCCTCCTCTTCTTATTATTCTTTAACCTTCTCCTCTTCTTCTTCTTCCCCCTCCTTCTCCTCTTATTATTCTTCTTCCTCCTTCTCCTCTTCTTTTTCTTTTTCATCCTCCTCCTCTTCTTCTTACCCTTCCTCCTCCTCTTCTTTTCCTATTCTTCTTCTTCTTCCTCCTCCGCTCCTTACTCTTCTTCAGCCTCCTTCGCCTCATCCTCTTCTTCCTCCTCCCCTTCTCCTTCCTCCTCCTCTTCTTCTTCTTCTTCTTCTTCTTTGTGCCCTGTTGCAATTCCATGTTTTTTGTAACTCTTAATAAATTTATTCTTTTCCCAATCTCTCCTAAACCTTACACCGCTATCTATTTACTGAAGCTGGCTAGGTAGGCCAGACAATGATTTCCTCTATTCCACTTACCTTAAATATGTCATGTGAATAACAAATTCTCCAAACCCTCTTTCCAAATTATGTGACTTATACATTTCAACTGTCTCCTCCTAATCTTAAAATTTTCCATTTTGTTTGCATTTCCTCTAAAATCTTCCTCGTTACTCACATGTTCGGTCCATGATCTTCTCAGTATCCTTCTGCAGAACTAGATTTGTGTTACTTGAAATCGTTTCTTCATCTGTGAGGCGACGTCCGACATTTACTGCCATATAGGTGGGCTGATATTACGTAACAGTTCAATACTTTATTTTGATTCTAACGAAATTTTACTGTTTCTTAATACTGTGCTTAGCTTTTGGAAAGCATCTTTCTCTATCCAAATACGCCATCAGATTTCAGTGTCGCATTTTCCTTGTTCAAACATTTGTCCCTTGTTCAAATATTTCCCAAATATCTAAAATGTTTCAATTGTTTGAGTTTAGTACATACAATCAATAGTGTCTCGACTCGTGTAAACAGCTTGTATTGAAAATCACGAATTCGGCGCATAGATATCATTTCTAGAATACATTTTGTCAGTATTTGTAGACGCCAACGAAAAAATGCGCATTGATTCTGGAGCTGTATAATCTTCCATTATTTACTATTAGTGAAAAACCTCACCAAACTAACTTAATTGATATCAATGATTTAAAAACCTTCTTTTAAAATCCAATTTCTATTTGCCCTTTATGGGAAATGTAAAAAGGGCATTAAATTGAAATCGACTGGCGTCTGTTAAAAGGCCGACGGCAGTTTCTTCTTTTTCTTTAAAGTCAATTAACAGGTGAAAAATGAAAAAAAAAAAAGACTGAAATTTCGAGGCGAATGAATTTCATTCAAAAAGGTTCATTTTCGTTTGATGAATTTTTAAAAATTCAAAACAGAGCTTTCGCATTAAGTAATCAAATGAAAAATAAACATAGCAAATATTTTGTTTTCAGCACAAAGAGATGGAAGGTAACTGATTAATACAAATGAAATTTAATCTAAAAAATATCGTTTGAAATCGAGAAATTAATGAAGAAAGAGAAATGCACAACTGAAAAGTTGGAAAACTTAACGAGAAAGAAAGAAAATACGCAGTTGAAGCAAGAAAGACATAAAGAGAAAAAGAAAGAAAGAAAGAAAAAGAAAATAAAGAGCGAAAGAAAAAGGAACATGAAAGTATGAAAGAGAGAAACAATTGAAAGAAAAATGGTGGAAAAAAGAAAGAGAAGAAAAGAGACAAAGAAAGAAAAAAGAAAGAAAAAAGACTCAAGAGAGAAAAAAAAAAAGAAGAAGTGAAAGAAAAAGCAATCTGGAAGTATGAAAGAGAGAAATAAATGGAAGAAGAAAAAATGGTGGAAGAAAGAAATCGAAGAGAGAAAGAAAATAAACAAAAAAAAGATAGAAAGAAATGTGACAAAGAAAAAAAGGAAAAGAAACAAAGAAACAAAGAAAGGAAAATAAAAAAAGAGAGAATAAAGAAAAGAAAGAAAGAAAGAAAGAAAGAAAGAAAGAAAGAGACTCAAGAGATAAAAAAGAAAAGAAAGAATGAGGAAACGAAAGAAGAAAAATGGTGGAAGAAAGAAAGAAAGAAAAGAAAGAATTAAAGAAAGAAACAAAGAAAGAAAAAGAAAAAAGAGAGAAAAAGGAAAAAAAGAATGAAAGAAATAAGGAATATGAAAGTAAGAATGAAAGAAAGAGAGAAAGAAACGAAAGAAGAAAAATGGTGGAAGAAAGAAAGATAGAAAGATAAGAAAGAAACAAAGAAAGAAACAAAGAAAGAAAAAGAAAAAAGAAAATAAAAGGAAAAAAGAAAAAGAAAAAAGAGAGAAAAAGGAAAAGAAAGAATGAAGGACAGAAGGAATATTAAAGTAAGGAAGAGAGAAATAAATGAAAGAAAAAAAATGGTGGCAGAAAGAAAGAAAGGTAGAAAGAAAAGAGACAAAGAAAGAAAGAAAAAGAAACAAGGGAGAATAAAGAAAGAAAGAAAGAAAGAAAGAAAGAAAAAGACTCAAAGAGAAAAAGGGAAAAATGATTGAAAGAAAAAGGAACATGAAAGTAAGAAAGAGAAAAATAAATTAACTAGAAAGAAAGGAGGAATGTGGAAAAACGAAAGAAAAATAGAAGACAAAAATAAAGGGGAAATATATATAAATGGAAGAGGTTATATATATATATATATATATATATATATATATATATATGTGTGTGTGTAAAGAAATGTAAGTGGGTATTGGGGTCAAAACGGAATCGACAGGCCTATATATATATATATATATATATATATATATATATATATATGTGTGTGTGTGTGTGTAATAAAATGTAAGTGGGTATTGAGGTCAAAACGAAATCGTTAGGCCTATATATATATATATATATATATATATATATATATATGTGTGTGTGTGTGTGTGTGTGTGTATATATATATAAAAGGAAGATGTTATAGTAGTTCCAACGAGAGAAAAGTGTGTATATTAAAAAGAAGAGAGAAACCATAAACGTCTTTGGTTGTAATGAGGATTGTTTTTTTTATATCTTATGCTTTATTAACAGGTAATAGATCCGTTGGTATACAATCCAGGTGAATCCTAGTAACTTCAGATATTAAAACCGACCCAGAGAGAGAGAGAGAAAGAGGAAGAGAATGAGAGAGATAGCTCAATGTATTTATTATAACAGGCCATATATTTTATATAGCAAAATATTTAAAATTACCTCGTGTGGGTGTAATCTATTTCAGACTAGCACAACCATATGCCAATCTGATGATCGCAAAAGTGTGAAACCCAGGGTCACAAACTCATATCCATACGCCTGAGTATGCTAACTATCACTGATATTGAGCACTTTTCACCAAGTACTCTGTATATAAAATATATATATATATATATATATATATATATATATATATATATATTCGGACAAGCCTCGTGAAATAATTTGGATACGTCCTGTCTACTTATTTTCGATAAGATCCTTTCATATTCGCGAATAAGCTTTTTTGTGCTGTTTTTAAAAGACAGGAGGAAAACATCGTTTGTTGCAGTCACAATGTATTTATTTCTGAGTACTTTCGACATAGCATGATGTCATCATCAGGTTATTGTTAAATATAGAGTAAGTATTTAGTGTTTAGGATTATGAAGGTCAAAAATTGTTGTGGTCATCCGAAGATTAAAATTTTATATGTGGAGTCACGAACGCCGGTCCATTGCTGGTTGTACTTTATAAATTCAAACATGGCAAAAAATGGTTAAATGGAGATTGGCCTATAGAATTTTCAAGAATGAAAAGGTAGGGCAATTTAACCTACAATATATTAAGTCATTTTATCTTTATACATTCTTTTTATAGATACAAATATTTAAGTAAATGCTCTGTTTATAATAAACAGTATTAAACAACATTTTCCGGCCTGAATGTCCGAGAAATTTTCATAGAAAATATTTGTCCTCCGAGAGGATTCGAACCTGTATCCTATACGGAAACATCATCTAGCTTGACGCGGCTTTACCGATTTGGCCACAGAGGCGCGTTCAGTTAGCAAGGTCCAATTTACTGTATTTGAACTTTAATCTTCTATGAATCTCTCACGTACATTCATATCTGCTCATGGCGTATCAAATGTAAACAAATGACGTCAAACATTACGAAATGGACAAAGTCCGACAATTACTTTAAGACATTTTTATATTTAACATTCTTTTTATAAATTGTGAAGGAGGGGAGGTTGATGTTTTAATTTCTTTAGAAAATCTACAATGCACACGGTAGGGACGCTGGTTTTGATGTGATAAGCATTCACCGAGAATTAGAATCAGTTTTTGAGCATTTGGCTTTAAAGATCGTCTGAACAAAATGTACAGAAACACCTAATTCCCGTAAATTTTTAGTTACAAAATGACTTCAGAATTTTACTATTTCAAGAATAAATCCAAATAAAGTTGATTTTGTTTGTATTAGATTTAATAGAAAATATATTCAAACCAGAATTCTAATTATGAATTGCCACAAGCAAAATATGCAATTCTTGCTGTATTCGATAAGTGAAAGCTGTAAAAATTGTAAATGATTAAAATTGGCTGATCAATGAATAAGATCTTATACCATTTGTTAGGTTATATTAATAAAAACAAAGAAATAGATATATAGTCTATATAATACTATTATTAAACTTCTGGTTACATATTATAAGACAGAATGATTTAAAGTTGGATTCTTTATTGAAAATCGCACTGATAACAAATTAGATAATAGTATTGTTAAATTGTTCAGTATATCTTTGTAAAGTAAATGGAGATAATAGTCGATCACACAGTGATTTACTGATAATGTGTTTGTGTCTTGCTTCTTGTCCATATAACACTGGTAATGCTTCAGTAGTGATGTAATGTAATAACCTGTCAAAACCATGAGAGACTATACTATAGGTAGTAACTACCTATAAGTCAAGGGACTATAGAGTCTAGCTGAAATATTTTCAGCTGTACGGTTGAACTCTCTGCCTTCGGCAGAGAGGAACCCAGACGAAACTATGTCGAAGGGCAGAGTCTCGTCGAAGGTGGTAGACAGCTATCCGACCCAGTTTTTTACGGGATCTACGAGGAATTTCTGCCCAAGCCTATGGCCTTGGATATTCCAAGTTAAATTCGGCCTTGTTCCACATCTGACCGCGTGGAACGGTTGGCAAATATACTAGCTGGAATCTTTTCAGCTATACGGTTGAACCCTCTGCCTTCGGGCAGTGAGGAACCCAGACGAGGGTCTGCCGAAGAGCAGAGTCTCGTCTGGGGTGGTAGACCAACCCGATCCTATTTATGCGGGGTCTACGGGGAATTTTTGGCCGAGCCTAAGGGCTCGGATGTCCCACGTTAAACTCGGCTTTGTGCCACATCTACCCTCGTCGGGGGGACGGGCCAGTAAATACCGACTAGCTGGGATCTGTTATTCAGGTTTTAGCTGTTGTCGGACTCTCTGTCTTCGGGCAGAGAGGAACCCGATAGAGGAGGTAGACTGACCCGAACCCGTTTATGCGCGGTATGCGGGAAATTTTTGGCCAAGCCTACGGGCTCGGATGACCCCACATTAAATTCGGCCTTGTGCCACATCCTACCTTCTGCGGAGGTAGGTAAATATCACTAGCTGGGATCTGTTGAGTACGACTCAGACTTACGCGAGAACTACTGCCCTTCCAATAGTAGCACTCACTACTGGATTGACTTTCGATGACCTTGTGCATAACTGTTACCTTTATTTTTATTGTACTAGTTTTTTACAATAAACCTTTACTTATTTTATCCATCTTGTTTTTCAAGTATAGTTTCCTATTATCACAGAATATAACAAGTAGTTAATTTAACTGCTCTTTCCACAACTTACTAATTTAAAAGTAGGCTTTCCAGCTCCATCGTCGTTCCATTAATTTGAAACACTTGAAGGTCATTGTTTGATAATTTGGAAGCGCAAATTCATAAACTCCTTTTTCTGAGAGGTTAATGAACATTGACTAGTCTGTTGCTTTAATTTTGTAAAATGTCACTTTTTAAAATTTCTTCTTTACTGGCTCGATAATTTTGAAATAAAAAATATCCTGAGAAATACGTGTGCGTCTTCCAAGACGAATCTAAGGCAATTCCCAGGCTCAAGTAAGCTTGGATGGTCACCTAATTAGCTTGACTGTTAGGGACGTGGATTTGTATGTTGAGTCATTACACTATAATATTAGCTATTTAATTCAGGTTTTTATATGATGTAACCTCAGTACTTAGTTGTTACAAGTATTTCCAAGACTTTAAAACTTCCTGAAGCCGAGACACAAGCTTAAATATTCTTTGCTTACCAGCAGCGGCGGGAGCTTTTCTGCTCTTGACTGGTATGTCATTGCCATACAACCAAAATCAAACGAGTGATTAATGTAAACAATACGTGGCACAAGTATGTGAGGGACGCATGGTGAATATGTTGTGGTATTAGGGTGCGTCTTCTATGCCGCAGC